TGGTGAAATGACGGAAGTGACGGCAGTAGTATTAGTTTTTTTTTAAATTTGATTTTATACGAGGGGAAGTCAAAAAGCGATAGCTTGGAAGAAACGTGCAGGTCACCCACTTAATCATCGTGGTCCGGGGGTAGAATGATAATTCCCTCCTCCCTTCCAGGCTAAGCAGGCCCTCTACCCTCCAGGGAGATTACTTGGTACCAGGTTCGCCTGAAGGGTAAATACTGGCTTGTACATCGACCACCCTGCAAGTCATTTTATGAAACATGTCGCATTCAAAAAGCCACTACGATTGGGAATGGAAGTAGAATGCATACCGTATTCCAGAATGGGATCGATCAAGACTTCATCCTTCATTTTGTGCAATACCCAGCTGAGATCTCAATGCTATCGGAGTTGTTTAGGTATGTGAACGTGGACGGCTGAAAGGAGCTGAGGAGGAGTTTTGGATTCAATTGATAGAGGCTTATTTGAAGGTCAGGCTGTTTCATTGGTGACTTACTCTGGAGATGTTCTGTACCTTTTCTGTACCGATGATTTCAGCCAATCGAATCATCTCCACAGCAGCAGAGCGCTATAGCGGAGGGTCTAGCATCACTGCGTAACAATATCGCATTTGCTATTATTCTTGTCAACGCTCTTCTCGCTCTTGCCATTTATCTCATTCAGAAGCACAAAAATGTGCTGAGTATTCGTTGGACACCTTATCGTAAGCAGCCATCTGTGACCTTTTTGTAGGGACGTGGGACGTTACATCCACGATCTGAGACTAGTCAGTATTTCCTTCGCAAGTGACCACAGTACTTTCTTGTTGCCGCAGTACTGTGTTGTTCAGTCTTGTTCAGGCACATCGTTGTTGGGGAATCCCCAATAGGGGGTCGTATTTGGCCGCCAGGAGAGGGGGTCGTATTTGGGCTGAGAAAAATTTATTTTGATAGTTGATTTTTCTCGCTTCACGGACGTTGTAAAAGGAGGGGGGGGGGGCGTACTTGCTCATTGTTGGGAGGGGGGATCCGTATTTACTTTTTGGCCTTCTAAGGAGTGGTGGTTGACTTTTCGTGATTTTCCTGTTTCATGCGTAGTATCGTATGTGTCGCGGCTTCCTGTTCCACATTGTATTTACCGCCTCTAGCTCCTTGCCTCATTCGACGAGGAGGACAGTGTTGGCCCGGGGGTGGTCGTACCAAAGCGCCCACAAAAACGGCAGGGGGGGGTCGTACGGACTCGACTAAAATCCCCAAACAATGATCTGCCCTGGTCTTGTTCGCTGCGGATGCTGCGACGTGTCAGGAGGGCTGGGGTTGGCGCGGCGCCGGCACGATTCCCACCAGTTGTTTTCTTTTCGCTCCTCAGCTGGAAGAGGACGGACTGGCGCCGCGCCCAAGCCGCTTCCCTGGCACGTCTCAGCATCCGCAGCGAACAAGACTACAGATATTGCGGCTAATGCAGCGCACGTGACCGCTGCCTTATTGCTTGGTTTTTCGTGGATTTATCGTCCCGTATCCCCTTTTCATAGCGGAAGACCAACAACGTAACCGTTGCAGGTAATTTCAAATGGACAAAAATGAATGAACTCACCGGCCAGTACGAAGAGACTAAGGATCCGCTCAAAATCGATCCACTTGGAATGGCGATCATTACGTTCCTGCTAGGAATTCTCGTAGTTCAAACGATTGGTAAAAATTCTTTCACTTTTATGTTCAGGACTCTTTCCGCGATTACTTGGTAAATGAACTTCCTTCTTAGTTTGAGCTCGTCATACCGTGAGGATTCCCACCGAGGGGGTCCTACTATTTGATCGCTGGAGGGGTGTGGCATGAATAATAGCGGTTGTTGACTTTAATGGTTTCTTTCTTGGTTAGAGTTTGCTCCCCACTGTTCCACCCTCAACGGCAGTTTTCTTGTGGAAAGGTGGTGGGAAGTTGGAAGATAGAATGGGGGATGGAGAAGGGGTCGTATCGGGGGGAGTAATTTTGAGAGGGGTGAGGTGTGATTTGTAAAAGTTTCCCTAATGGCAGAAATAGCATTGTTTCTTGTAGGACCCCACATCATCAAATAATACCCCTCTTTTGGCTGCTGAAAAGTGGGAATGGAGGCGCTGAGACTGTTATCGGCCATAGTAACTCCACCCACCAGTTGAAGTCCCCATGCAAGGATGAAAGGCGTCGCGCACATACATCTGTTGGGACCATCTCTTTCTCGTTTTCTTTCTGTTTTTTCATCAAGGTACATCACGGGATTTGCCCGAGTGGAATAAGGGCACTTGAAGGAGCTGGAAACGACAAAAATCAGCAAGGAAAGCTCTCAGCAGCTAGACAGATAAGAAGCACCCTCCTTCCTTTCTTTGGTCCCTCACTCGCGCGATACCCCACCCCCTCCCCTCACGAGTGGCAATCGTGGAATGTGTCTTCATGAAGAGGTACACTACCGGGGCACAGAATTTTTCTCCAGGTATGCTCATTCATCGCCTCAACACGATGATAGGAGCCTTCCAAGAAGTGAATCAATTGCATGATCTGATACCGACCTGGAAGTCGCAGAAAACTGATGACGAGCGTATTCTAACTGCAGGTTAGTGATTTG